CCCACTTCGTCAGACTCTTTCGTGGGTGAATACCCACTTCGTCAGACACATGTCTGACGAAGTGGGTATTCACCCACGAAAGCTTATGCTCCAATACGTCTGTTAGTCTGTAAGGTGCCACAGGACACTTTGTTGCTTTTTACAGATCCAGACTAACACGGCTACCCCTCTGATCATTGACTTCAGTGGCCTTTGGCTCAAGCCTTTACTGCATCAGTTACGACAGGGATTATAGCATGTGCAGTGGCAGCTCCACCCTGGGGGGGGATCCTGGGACAACCCAGATGCATGACAGACTGGCCGCAATGTGTAAACAACTCCAACCAGCCCAGTTAAGCCCTGAACAACAAAGAGGAAGATGAGGAGGGAGTATTTAACATCCCATCCTAGCAGCAACATGCCTTCAATTCACAAGGCAAATCAATGGACAAGATTGGCAGAAGGCTATCTGTAAGAAGAGTGGGGAAGGTGCATGTTCTGAAATTTAACTGGAAGATACAGCTCTGGAAGGGAGAGGTGGGGTATCTAAGAGAGAGACTGTTCAGAGTTAAAATGTCCCCACTGCACAGAAATCCAAAAGGAGGAAATGAAGGGCCAGAATTCTGCAGATGAATATATATTAACTTCTAACCACAAGTATTTAACTTCAGTTACTGATTATGGGGCTGGTGCTAAGACTCACTAGTAGGGACAGCCAGACACTCCAAGGAGGAATCCTGCTCCTATAATGCAGGAGAGAGACGGGAAGCTGACCATCCATGCAATCATAAAACCCCTCACCCACAAAGGGAAAAAATGGTTCAAATCAGCCCACCCTGCAGGACTTTACTCGATCACCAGTGGGGGTCAGGAGGAAATCTCTCTCTCCACCCACACCTCTAAAGTACAATATTGCATAATCAGGTGAACTGGGGGATGGGAGGGGTTCCCTTCTGAGGCCTCCAACTGTGGCCACAGAGAACAGAGAAGCAGATAGGACTGATGGTCTGATAAGGTCATCAGGAACTCATACAAGTGTGTCTCTATCACACTGCCCAAAGGGTACAGAGAAATTAATATTGAGGAGCTGGTAGAGAGGGGAACAAGTGGGGCAGGTTGTGTCCTCATCAACTACTACGGAAAATGGAGCACAAAGTAATTTAGTTGTTCAGCTAGAAAGCAAGCTTTTTTGGCCACTTCTTATTCCAGCCAATCATGTTCCACAAAGCTTGCCCGGTGGTGGGAGGATATGACCTCACACCCCTCCCCACACTCCACAAAAAACCAAAACAAAACAGGGTCCACTCTTTCCTAGGGCTCTGCTTCCCCTTCACCACGTGTGTTTGATGCTTCATAAATGGTTATTTGTGAAGGGGAAAAAACCTGGTCCAGTTGATCTTTGCTTTAGAAAATGGTTTGAGAGAATGAAATCCGAGCCAGCCCCCGCCCTCCCCGAGTCATGACACTCACACCCACAAAAGCTACTGGGAAGTGCCCAATTCTGCACTGAGCACCATTCAGGAAGTGACATGACTTCTGATTCAATAAATAAAAGAAAGGTTCCAGGCTGCGCTGGGGTTGTTACAGCCATTGGCCTCAGGGAGGAACTCTGGGGAGGGGGCCTCTCTTAGAACTCGTCGTCAGAGCTCAGCAGAAGGGTCTTCTCATTGTCCCGGGCACCCGAGCAGCTGTGGGAGCGCGAAATGATGTGGCTGCCATTGCGCCAGGGTGGGCCATGCTCCAGCGTTGACTGCTGGGTGTACTGCTGGTAAGCGGGGGAGAAGTTGTGGATAGCGTCTTGGACGATGTCATGAGGGTTCATGGTCTCCTTGAGGCTGCTGGAGATGCTCTTCATGGGGGCGCAGCGACCTGCCAGGCAAGGTGGGAGAGTGCAGTGAGAAAGACAAAGCCTTAAAAATCAGAGAAGGGAATTTTCACACAGTGACCCACAGCCCCGGACACCCTAGCACCTTTTTCACAGGCTGCCTTCAAATGGCTTCAAAAGAAGTGCCGTAAAAATAGTACAAGCTTTCAGGGGCACACCCCCAGCATTTGGAAGAGGATTGGTCACAACTGGCCAAGCAATTCCACTTCAAAACAGCAGACTGGAGACATGCAGTAGGAATGGGCCGCACACAAATTGCTGACAATCCCACCCTGCATCCTCACCCTGGCTGGTGGGGTGTGTGATCGCAAGGCACAGATTGAGAAGCATTTCTGTAAGGGATTTGGAGAAGGCACAAAAGAGCAAGAGGAAGGTTCTAGGAATTCGGGGGAAATATGGGGCTTGCATTCATTAGGAAGGACAGTGGCTGCAGACAGGACTGAGGGGTTCACCACTGTGATGGGCGGCAGAAAACGTTTACAAAGAGAAGGGAAGCTAGGAAGGAAAGGAGGGAGAAAGCAACAGAGACGGGCCCTCTGCATGGGGCGAGGGATGTGTGTGTGTCTCACACAGCAGCAGTGATGGATGCTGCAGCTGGGCCAACTCCATATGGGAGTCAGTCAGGCCTGACGGATGTGGGGAAATTACAGGGTGCAAGACAGAGAGGTACAGAGCCTCCTATCTTGGAATGCTACGAATCCCATTCCTCTCTGAACTGCCAGGGGCATCAGTACCCACATGAGCTTCTGAATTTGCTCCCTGCTCCAAAGGATGAACTCCCCAAACCATCAAAGCATGCCGCTTATTTTTGGCGATAAAAGGGGGACTGTCTCACAGGTGAGGCTGATTGCTTCAATATACACGGCCCCACTCCCACCCTTAGACCTGTGTACTGAGCATATGGCGTTCTTCATACGGCCCAGGGTTTTAGCTAGACCTAAAACAATTAAGTGTTTCAACGCGACTGATAAGACTCTCAACCTGCTAGCCCCACCAAAGGCACTCCAGGCTATGAAGTTATGCCACTGCCCTGTTAGGCGACCTACGATACGGGAACTCTCGAGAAGCTGCATTGAGGAAGGCAAGTTCCACACACGGGATGGCAGCAGGAATCTGCCAGCTAGTGCTTCGTAGGGAAGGGTTAGGAGGTGGGAAACCAGTCTGGACAGTATCCCGGTTAAGAGCGACTGAAGAATACACAGAGAACACAGCACCTACCATATGGCCCATACGATGGAACGGCTGCGTCAGAAACCAGTAGCCAAAGCAAGGGAGACAAAGAGAGAAAGGAGAGAGAGAGAGAGAGAGAGAGAGAGAGAGAGAGAGAGAGAGAGAATGGGAAATAACAGGCTGAACAAGCAAGTTATTCTCAGACCCGCCACCAAAACATCCCCGCAGTGCTGGGTAGCAATTTAACCATCCGTTTAACACATGCAGACTCTATGGCTGAGGGAGGGCAGGATCCCTCTAATTTCCACCGCAAAGCCCCCTATTGTTGGAGTGACCTGTCCTTCCAGAGCCTCCAGGCTTGCTGGGATGGAGTGGTCGTGCCATGACTTTCACATGCCATCTGTGCATGATGCAGATCCCATCTCTAAAGGGAAGGAAGCCACACCCCTTTATTTAGGGAAGGAGGGAAAAACACCATGACAGACTGGTACAGCGGTGGGCACAAGAACATCCTCTCTTCACTGGCCAGCTTCCAAGTCCCTCTGCTGATGCTCTTTCCTTTTCCCAAGAGCAGGGTCTCTGACCCTTCTGTCCTCAGAATGCCACTGCAGGAAGATCCCCCTCCCTCATGCCAAGGGCACACACTTCCATCTCCCTCAGTTTGAGGGAAACAGGAGCTTCCTCAGACCTCTCCCCCGACTCCCTTGTGTCTGCTGCCCAACCTGAACATGTGGTGTTCCCCCACAGAGGGGCACAGGAAAGAGGCCACTATGCCATCCTCTGACAGGAGACTAATTCTTACAGGCCTGAAGTCTGTAGCGAGCTGTTCTGGGTGGAGTACTGGGGAATTGAAAAGGAAACACTGAAAATCAAACTGTGTTCTGCCCTGTAGGGCCCTTGCACACAGTGTCTGTGCAAACGTAAGTGGAGAGAGAACGCTTTCCTGAGTATCCAGATTGGGAGCCTAGGACCCAATAAACCAGCTACACCAAAGTGTACGCATGCCCTCCCATGGAGGCTGGCTCCCGTACCTTGTGCGTCAAGTCGCTTGTCTGCATAGACCTTATAGGTGAAGGCATGGCGCAGGGCAAGGGCTGCGAAGAACATCTCCACGCAGATGATGAAGTCCTGGTAGCCGGCGGCCACAGTACCTTCGCCCACAGACACGTTGGCCGAATGGATCTTGGGAATGGCACCACACTTCTCAAGAATAGCCAGCAGCATCCCTAAGCAGGGCAACAGATTCAAACACAAGTGAGGGGGGAAAAAAAGGTTGACCTCACAACTCCCCACAGAATGAGCATGGCCAATTGTCTGTGCACATGTCCAGGCAAACTCGTTTAACAAAATGACTGCTACAGGAAGTTAGCTGGATGCTCCCATTCATCCTGTCAGCGGCGGCTCCAGGCACCAGCGTTCCAAGCGCGTGCCTGGGGTGGCAACTGCGGGGGGCGCCCTGCCGGTCCCTGCGAGGGTGGCAGTCAGGCTGCCTTTGGCGGCATGCCTGCGGGAGGTCCGCCGGTCCCGCGGATTCGGCAGCAATTTGGTGGCAGGTACGCCAAAGCCGCGGGACCGGGGACCTCCCGCAGGCATGCCACTGAAGGCAGCCTGCCTGCCGTGCTTGGGGCCACAAAAAAGCTGGAGCCGCCCCTGCATCCTATTTTGTAGTACAAGGGAAAAGCAGCACCTTGTGAAATTAAATAGCAACAAATTTGAGCACAGATAGCACTTAAATAGGAACATTTTTCTAATCACAATGTATAAATGAATCGCACAAGTATTGGGCAAGTACATGAATTTGAGTTTTCTACTTTCTCTGTAGCATGTGACAACGTTGCTAATGCCATAGCAATATAGTGGACTACACAGACTATTAGTTTGTTCTGATGGAGTAGCTCCTTATTTCTATGTATCTTGCCCTGATCCATTGGGGGTTCTGCAGCTACATTACATGTGTTTCAGTTGATGTGTCATTTAGCAAAAAGGTATATGAGCTTGTGACTGAAGATTTGTTGATAATCTTTAAAAGAGACCCATCATTTCAGGTTTGTCACTTTAAACAATACAATTGCAGTATGCAAATAAACTCATCCCAGCTGCATCTTGCCACTGGCAGAGCTGCCCAAGGCCACCATGAAACAAGCAGCTGGTTTGTGAGGCAGGTGTGTGTCAAAGACAGTGGGGGAGGAATAAAGATGACAAAGGGGGAGAGAGCTTCTCCTGGGATGAACAACCACGTACTAAAGGATCACAAGAGAGAGACTTGGTGGCTACTCAACACTTGTTCCATCAGCTTTTACTTCCCCGGAGCCTCTCTAATGGGATCTGCAGGCTAGGGAGAGGAGGTGCCTCACCTTGCCAGAAGGACAGGAAGATGACGGACTTGACCATGAAGAACTTGAGAACAGGGCTGTAGGGGCTGAGCAGCTCGCGTGTGGCAAAGTAGAAGAGGAAGAGCGCGTAGAGCGCCAGGCTGACTGAAATATTGTAGATGATCGTCACATAGAGGTAGCCGCGGGTGACACTGAAATGAGAGGAAACACAAACCCTCTGCAGCTCACAAATATCCTCCATCCCTCACCTCTTCGAGACAAGGGTACAACATTCCTTTCCCCTCTGGCACCCCCACTCAACCCCTTCCCTGAGGTAACATGAAACCCATCGGCTCCGCTCTCACATGCCTCCTTTCCCCTCCACGCCGCCCTCCCTCTTCTCATGCACAGCCCAAGAGCCCCCTTTCTCCACACTCCCTCTCCCCACCAGGACTCTGTGCAGTCACTCAGACCCCAGGCAGCCAGGCCCTTTCCTTCACAAACGCATGGAACATCAGGCCTGTGAGAGGCTTGCTTGTTGGAGAAATCCCATGACACTAAACAGTTTGCTTACTCGAAGTCACCGTCCCGGTACTTGCCAAAGGCCTGGAGGATGACTGTGCTGATCGCCATAAGGGGCTTCACCACACAGAACTGCAGGGTGGCCTAAGGGAAAGAGGAATGAGATGGAGAAGGAGAAAGAACAAGTGCCATATACACACACACACAGGCTTTGATCCAGGGGCAACCAATACCATGTATCAGTCACCATCAGAGCAGTTCAACAGCATAGTGTAGTTCCAGTCCTAACAATTACACTGGTCCCACTGTTCCTTAACTGCAGTTCTCTGGGAGTAGAAGATGAGAAAGATTCATATCGTGTGCGTCCATCTGGCTGCCCCTCCTCCACCACAAGAGGCGAAGCTCACCCCTGGGCTGGAGGTGGCAAGAGACTGCTCAATGACAGAGTCGGTTCAGATGCTGGGTTGCAGTAGAGGTAGGGAGACCACCCATCTTGTATTTTAAGTGAAGGTCTTTAACTGGGGCCTAATGTTCTGTGACCAAGTCCAGTGAGGAGCTATTGAGAAACGTTTGATCAGATAAAATGCATGTTTCCAGGCAATAACCACACATGATCCTACCCTGGGGCATGGTACACACACGATTCTGTATAATGAACAAAATGTTATGGAATGGTGTCCTGGGATACGGGTGGGGAGGGGAAGAAAGGACTCTGGTCCATATTTTTCATCACCATATTCTCTGTCTGCTTGCAATGCAGGTGGTCACCTTACATGGGAGAAAAGAGGAAACAACTCCAGACTCTTCTTAGAAAGGGATAGCTTGGCAAATGAAACCGCGTAAGGTGGTTTCAGATACCACAGTGACGAGTGCTGTCTAAACGCCTAGCTAGGTTAGATCCGTTCTGCTTTCACTTGCATGAGCTTAGAGTCAGTCTAGAAGGGAGAATCGCCCTGGAGGCTCTCTAGGACTTGAGAGCAGTTCTGTCTGCTCCATCATGTGTCCCAGCACTGAGCATGGCCTCAACCTCCACCCCATCACGATTCCCTCCCACCCCAAAGCTAAGCAGTAAGAAACATTTAACTTCGGGGAGAGAGACGAAGCTGAACTTCATAAAGGTCAGAGATGGGGGGAGAGGGGGGAAGACCCTAAAATTTTAACTGGAGTCTCCCTAAAGCAGATCAGGTAAGAGTTTTGCAAGGTGCTGAGGGGGGTAGAAGGAAGGTAAAACCAAAGGGAAGGTTGCTGTTGGTAAGACACAATTTGCTAGTGGTCATAAGACTTCAAGGAGATAAAAAATCCAACACAAGCCAGTAGGTGAGTCACCAAGATGAGACTTGAATAAGGTCAAGCTAATTGGTAAACAACAACTCTGAGCTTCCTCTCCCTCCAGTCCAAGGATTGTTTAACTATTTCCCTGCAATCCAAACCACACACTTTTGTTTTTAGGCACTTCCTGGGGAAGAAAGCATTAAGACATATGGGAAATGCACTGAGGGCACATGACCCAGACATCATGAAGGTCACTGGGCACAAGTCGGGAAAGAACCTCTGTGTAATACCCTGCTGTGGAGATAAGTGTCTGCCCAGGCTTTTAGACCACACCCGCCGCTGTGGCCTCTGAGGGGATCTACAATGCAACAGAAAATCCACAGCACCAAGTCTCAGAGGCCAGGTCAATTGACTTAGACTAACAGGACTCAGGCTGCGGCGCTAAAAATTGCAGTGTAGACATTTGGACTCAGGCTGGAGCCCAGGCTCAAACTCCACAAGGGGGGGGGGGGGGGCTCAGAGCCTGGGCTCCAGCCCAAATGACTACACTGCAGTTTTTAGCCCCACAGCCCAAGCCCCACGAACCCGAGTCAGCTGCATCTGTGCCACGGGTCTTTTATTGCAGCGTAGATGTACCCTGAGTGCCCAAGATACACATGGCCAATACAGACGGATACAGCAGACGCCTGTCTGAGAACAGCCCAGTTCAAGAGAGGGGAGGGGAAGGATAGTTGCTTGCTGAAGAGGCCTTCAGCACTAACAAGGCTGATGAGACCCGACAGGGTGACACCACTACCAGACAGGCTCAGGGTGGGGCCGAGGATGGCCAAGGTGTTCCTTTTAACAGGGTTTCCCTCAGTGGGTCATCATGGAGATAAACTGGGCAGTCAGGTGGCCCTGGAAGTTTTCCTGCTCCCCAGTGCTGGAATCCCAAGGAGGTCCCAGAGGCTGGGCTTGGTGCCACAGATTGCCCATTGAACTGCTGTCAGCCCAACTTCCATGGAGTGAGAGGGAAGTGCCTCACATCCCTCTGGCAGGCTAGAAAGCGGTGCTAGCAGTTTGCAAAGGGCAGTTGCATCTGGAAGAATGGTCACCACGATGCAGGGAAGTGAGGGAGCCTAGAAAAATATCCATCTAAGACGGAACTGTCAAACCCTCAGCCCGCTTGATCGATTTGTGGAACCTGCACAACATATTCAGAGTTCACAGAATTTCAGCCTTCATTAAAACAAAACAAAAAGTTGCTAGTCCTCCTGGTTGAGAAGAAAACCTTCCAAATATGAACTGAGTGTTACCCACGTAGTGATGTCGGCCTAAGTCTGCAGACGGTCTGAAACAACAGCGCTGAGAGGGGTGAACCACCCTATGCCCTGTTAATCTCACTGGGGTGTTACTCGAAAGCCAGCTGACGACACTTTAAATGTCAACATTAGCTATTTCATTGCTCATAATTGTAAGGGGGGGAAATGGAGAATGGTGTGGGAGTGAAGCCCAGGTGAGGAAGGAATTAGGAGTTCCTTAGGGAAGGAAAAAACAGAGGGAAGAATGGAAATACATAAAGGCAGGCAAGAGGGAGAGAAACAAATAAAGGAGGATAAGGAACGAAGAAATAGCCACAGTCCTAAAGGTCACTACGCTTCCCAGGGAGTAATGCTGAATGCGATAGTCAGGCGGTTTTCACTCTTTATCTCAATGCAAACTTTTCATTGAGCTCAGATGGAGCTCTGGTGCAGAGTAAGGGCAGCAAATGGGCCTAAATTCATAGTGAGACCCAAAGACTATAATTAAAAATGGAATTCGGCCCTTTTTCAGAGAATGAAAGCAACGCCCCAATCTAACCAAACCTGTTTCAGTTACTATCTACAGAGAGATCCTGCATGTCACTCTCAGTAGCTTAGCAAATCTCTACCTTTACTGCTACCTTGTGGCAGTCAGCAGTGACAGCCTCCTGGACCCCATGACCGAACACAGGACACGGATTTGTCGTCATTTAGATTTCTCTCTCTTCCTGACATACCCACTTCATCATGCACCCCCCCCCCCCGAGTGAGCAATATGCTGGAGAAGTTCCTCCTGCAAAGTGGTGTGTCACGATGATCAGACTCCATACTCCCACTCCTAACCACACTGGCAAAGCTGGGAACTCAAGAGACACTTACACAACTACTGGGGGTGTTTGGGACCCAAGAAGGCACCAAGTTCTCATAGGGGATCTGGGACCTGCCCATCCCAGGAGGGGAAGAGGAAACAAACATCAGTTCCTAGGGACTCCTGGGGTTTGGAAAAAGAACAGGAGTACTTGTGGCACCTTAGAGACTAACAAATTTGTTAGTCTCTAAGGTGCCACAAGTACTCCTGTTCTTTTTGCGGATACAGACTAACACGGCTGCTACTCTGAAACCTGGGGTTTGGAGTAGATCCTGTAGAGAAGATAGGTCATTTCCCTTGCTAACCGCCTTTCTAGTTTTTGGGTGGGCAGAGCAACATGGTATATCTGCTTCAGCGCTATTACAACATAACAGATTTATTCTCGCCCACCAAGCTACGTGCCTTTCTCAGCTCGATCTCATAAATCCACTGAACAGAGGTTGGTCCAAAGGAGCCCTCATCTCAGAAACTCCATGGGCCAGGCATTACTACCTCCTCTCCTGCTTCTTGCACACAGACCAGCTTTCTTCAGCCCGTACCTGTTTGCAGAACCTCAGGAATCCGATGGAATACGTCTTCCCCCACAGGCAGCAAGTCCCATACATGCAACTGGACCTGAAAATGCAACACAGCAGGACAGCCAGAGGGCAGAGCTCAGGATATGGCAAGCAGGGAGATGCAGGCCCTTGCCTGCCCATCTCCTCCCCATGAAAATATAGATTCTTGCTTTCACCAGGCCTAATTAGTCATCACCATAGCGACAACAGCCTTAGTCTCCTTCAGAGATGCAGACACGAACAGAGGTGTGGTCTTGCACTCCTATCTCTGCCCCCCCAAAACCGATTTTTGGCAGGGAAGTTGTTGGCTAGCATGGTCTGGCGCTAGAAAAGGAGAGCAGGCAGCCACAACCAGCATAGGCTAGGGAAAGGAAACACATACTGGGGGGAGGGGAGAAGAAACTACAGGGGAGCCAGGTGAACATGAAAGCTCTACATAGGTAGGCTCAGTTCACATGTGATGATCTGAATGGCCTCATCCAGCGTGAGTGGATGCTTGTAAATCCGTTTGAGTCCTGTGTGTAATGAGCTAGGTGGTATCATCCGATCCAGTTCCAGGGTACACTTATTGCACCACACAGTTTCCAGTGGCAGGGGTTAAAACAAATCCTGTGATACAGAAGCCCCCAGGGAAGGATGGGCGAGAGTGCTGTAAATAAATAGACTTGGAGTACTCACTCGATAGATTTCCCTCTGATCTCAGACATGATGGAGCTCTCCCCCCCAAGGTACTCATAGCAGAGGCTGAGGAAGTTGTAGATTACAAAGGCTGCAAAGACAGATTAACCAGATCAAAATCATGACGCCCACTGAACGGGGACAAGCAGCTGGGGTGCAGGGGAGAAGCAAAACCAGCAGTAATGATAATCTGTGCAGTGCCTTTCATTCTGAGAATCCCAGACTGTTTTTACAGGGTGCACTCCTCCTCCTGCTTCAGCAGTTACATGGCACTCTGCGTCGAAACCCGGCAGGGCACCAAGGCTAATGCCCCTACTCTTCCCAAAAGTGCCATGGGACTTTTAGCCACCACCACTCTGGTCAAGGCCTCTGTTTTACATCTCCTCTGTAAGATGCCCTTCCCCGACTCACAGTGCTCCTTAGGACTATTCTGGGGCATTAGCCTAGTACCCACTCACATGGAAAAGCATCCCTAATGAATCATCCATCTCACTTCTTTCCGCACCCTCCACTCACCTTTGAGGTCTCTAAACCAAGGCTACGATTTTGTTACAGAAGTCACGGAAATCACGGAATCTGTGACTTCCAAAGCCCTTCATGACTTCAGCCCCTGGTGGCTGGGGGGACCCCCACAGCTCCCTGCCACCGCAGACGGCAGGGGGACCCTGGAGCTCTGAGCCCCCATGAGTGGTGGGGGCCCCCAGAGATCCCAGCCGGCCTCCACAGCAAAATCTTAGGGCTGGTCCACACTGGGGCGGGGGATCGATATAGGAAACGCAACTTCAGCTACGAGAATAGCATAGCTGAAGTCGACGTTTCCTATATCGAACTAAAAGTACTTACTTTGGGTCCACGCGGCGCAGGCAGGCTCCCCCGTCAACAGCGCTTCCTCCTCTCGGCGAGCAGGAGTTCTGCAGTCGACGGGGGAGCGCTTCTGGGATCGATCTATCGCGTCCAGATGAGACGCGATAAATCGATCCCAGAAGATCGATCTCTACCTGCCGAATTAGGCGGGTAGTGTGGACCAGCCCTTAGCCTTACAAATGAGGCCCTACCCAGCTTAGGACAGCTGATGAGCAAACAGTCTCTCCTATGTGATCTGAGTGCGGGCACTCCCCCTGCTCCCCACAGGGAGACCCAAAGAAATGGAGGGGTGATCTGGTGACTGAAACTTTGTTTCACAGTTTATGGCAAAAATTAGAACCTGTAGTCTGCCTATTATTCTCCACAGAAAGGTGTAATATTTTTCACTAACTGGGGAGATGAGTAAGGGCTTTACATCACCCACCAGGATGCATCCCTCATGCAGTACATTTGCTGCTTCTTCTGGATCACCCCTTACATGAGGAATGCTCTCCCCTCTTCAAGACTCACCTCCGCTGACACCTACACTATATTGCCAACTGAAAACAGCCAAGTGAATGGCGGGGGCGGTGCCAGCCTCTTCCTTGCCATGAGGTTCCGCCTCTCTCTGTGGCCCCGCCCCTTCCCCCCCCCCCCCCCCGGTTCCCCCCTCCGGGCAGACCAGAAGCCAGAGCTGGGCAGTCTGCGGTGCAGGCTGTTTGCAGGCGGCAAGAGCCTCCCAGGTAGGGGAACCAGCTCTGGGGCGGACAGAGCCCTCTGGCACTTGGGGAGCAGCAACTGTGGGGGGCAGTGCCCCTGGAGCCCGGACCAGTGCAGGTCAGTCTGGGCTGCTGTGGGGAGCCCCAGCCCATCCATCTGCCCTGGGTGCCACCCCCCGGTGGGTGGGGACACGGGCTGGGGGCTGCTCTCAGGCACCCCTGCGCCCCACCCAGGCTTACTTCTCCACTGCTGCTAGAGCTGGGTGCCCGGCAAGCAGCCGCCAGTCTCTCTGCTTTGCCTTCAGAGCTAGGCAGCCAGAGAGTGGCAGCTGCTACAGGGTGGCTACAGGGGGGCTAAGGCAAATTTTGGGGTGGCTATAGCCCCCGCATGCCCCCTCAGCACCGCCCCATGAATGGCTGGTAGGGACTTTCATTTATCATAGATAATGTAATAAATGACAAGCATTTAGCAATGCACATGGCTAGCCTATGTTAACCCGTTCTCATTGCCGTTTCCCTTATTCTAGTCCTCCCACCTCTCTCCTACTGTTACAGCTACTCTTGTATCCTGATTTAAATTAGACTATGAGCTCCCTGGGGCAGGGTCTGTCCTACTCTATGTTTGTACAGCACCTAACACAACGGGGCCCAGATCCTGATTGTATTATGGGTAACATCAACATGCCTTGAGGAAATAATAAACTCAGGAGAGAGACACCGTACCCAGGGAATTTCAAGACAAGAACAAAACAAAATCAAATGCATAAGGCCAAGAATCTGTCCTCAACAAGGAGCTGGATACCAGACATCAAAGAGGTTATCCCACTTGAAAAGACATCCATGAACGGAGACAGCTTATGGACTTTCACCTCCCCTGGGCCCTTGTAATCACCCAACTATGCCCTTACACAAAGGGACACAGATCCCATGAAGAAACACCCCCCAAAAATCTAACAACAGGATTAGACACAACGTAAGCACTTCCAGACATTTTTAGCACAACAGAATAGTACAGCGCATAAATGGCTATGGTCTACCTGCTTCTATTTATACAATAAGGCAAACTTGTATTCCACCTGTAATCCTGGTTATTGAACAGGCCCATTGACTATATTTCTGTAATGATTTGGGGTATTGGTATCGATGAAATAACCAATTAAAAAAACAACACAGAAAACATTTATTTAAAAAACCTGTGGTAAATTACCTGGTCTGCAAACTTCCTGCATCTCCCTTAACTTTAGGCCTATGAAGGCAGCTCTCAGCTACTGGGGGAGGAGAAGCTTAGCTTCTCATATTGTTCTCCAGTGGTGCTCTCCACTACTCTCCGAAGTGGTCACACTCACTGCAACACCAGCTGCCCATCCAAAAGCATTGGGAAGGAGGTGAAATCAGAGGGAGAAGAATGGGGACATTTGCCCCCACTCTCCCTCTACAGTCCCCAAAAGAAACAAGTGCTAATTATTAAAGATGGCTGTGCTAGAATAACAGCGCTTCCCCTCCTAGCCCATATTCATCTTTGTCATCAAAAGTACTTATCACATCACCACAAAAGAACACAAACTCTTATGTCACAGACTGAGGCCCCAGGGTTTCATGTGTGTGGAGGCAGGATAAAAGAGCAGGACCAAAAAAGTATACTCCACCCGCCAAAAGACACACACCACAGAGAACCACCCATGATTGGTACAACACAGATTCCAAGTTTAGTGATGGATTTTTTTATTCGTTACTATTTTTATTGTTTTCAAGTGGAGCTATTCCCCAAGAGTAAAAATCTCCACTGAACACGAGAAAGATCTCCCTCCCACCCTCTCCTGCTTTTCCTGGGCATAGTTTTGAAACTGTTTAGAGAATACACAGGGGCAGGGGACGCACCTCCACACAGCACAACAAGCGGGCGAACTTTGGAACGCAGGCTGACCCCTTGAGCAGATGTTGCGATGTTTGCAAACTCCCTAGGCAAGGCGGAGGGGATAATAGCCGTTGCTAGGAGAGGAGTTTCTCAGAGTAGCAGGCTTCCTGCTAGGCCTTTACACACAAACACAGGGAGAGCAGGGGAGAGAAAAAATGTCCTCTGGATTGTGTGTATGAGTTTGCCATCTGCTATTGTATTTTAGTGCATTGTCACTGGTCCCTTGAGCAGATTAACTTGTTGACACACCCAGGGGCCTCTCTCCCTGCAGCACAGATCTCACTAACAACAAACCCTACAAACAAGGTGCAGTTTAGTCAGGACAGACAGACAGACAGACAGACACACAATAATAGTGGTCCAACAGGATATTCTGCCACAGAGTACAGCCTCTCCCAGGATACTGTTGTGGGGCTAGGGGGGAGAGGGTCCTTTTTTGAATGGAGTGAGGGGGGTAGATTTTAGAAGTGTTTATTTCAGAGACTGTGTTTCTTTCTCATATGCCTCAAGGGTGAGTTTTCCTTTCCTAGCCGGGTGGGTCACATTATTAGAAAAGTGCAATAAATAACAGATATTGATCCTCACACCTTTCTGCCCGTAGGATCCCAAAGCACATTACAGCTCTCTCTCACACACCACTGAACCACAGTGGCTACTGTAGTGGAATGCAGCAGCCATTCTGTGCCAGGGAAATGATGCAAACAGTTACAGGATGGGAAGAGAGTAACATTGCCAACAGAAACTGCAATGGGGATTTAGGGGCCATGTGAGGAGGGGCAGAATACAATTGGCCAACCTGAAGTCTGCTCAGGTGTTGGGGAGACCTTTGGGATCTTTAACATCGATAGGAGTTCAGACCTTCCGTTTTACACCTCCTCTCAAAGAATGAATACAAGTCTGCCATGTGAGAAAATCTCTTCAGAAGCTTTGTGTCTTTCTAAACCGTATCTTAGGGCAATCCCAATATACCCTGTCACTCCTACAGCAGCCAGGAGGACAGAAGACATTGTTCCCCAGTCACTAAGCCAGGCTTCAAACCATGGTTCTAGTTCGATATCAGTACAAATCACAGCCATATGACAGAAGTACGCCCCCTCCACGCTTCCTGTCCACATGCAGGACCAGTCCCTGCGCTCCAGCCTGTAACAGAAAGCCCCCATGCTCCGCCATCCCCGCCTTACCTTCGTAGCAGTCCCGCACAGTGCCAAAGTAAACATAGTACTGGTCATTGGTGAAGAAAAGGAGGCTGAGCCATGAGTCGAAGGCGTAAATGGGCACAATGAAGAGGATCCGGACAATGTAGCGCTGCTCATTGGGGCAGCTATAACAGCGCAGATGCATGTAGATCTGAATGGGGGAAGATGGAGAACAGGATCAGTGACAATCAAACAGAGGAAAGGGTGGGACTGGATGGCCACGGGGGACAGAGAATGGAACACAGAACCCCTCACTGGAGCAGGTGATCTAACGCGACCTTAAGATGGCAGGGATAAAAAACTGTTACTTTCTTATGGCCACTCGCAGTGGCCTGCGTGAGGTGAATTGGGGGCTGCAGTCCAGTTTCTAATGAGATGGGATTAAATTCATTTTTATTATTTTTTGCTCATTATTACCAAGTGTGGCCTCACATTCTCTTGTTCATATTTAATTCCCAGACAGTCCATCCCAAGACTCTGTTATCTCCTTTCAGGCACTTAAGATTTCCAACCCTGCAACCTCCTCTTTTCCTCAGCCGTATTGGACTGAGCACATCAGGCTGTCACCATGGTTAAGGCCCTCTTTACCTCTGAGCAGTTTTATACACTTCCCCATGACTTTTTCATGAAAGAACCCCAGAAAATTCCTTCATATAGGTTTTAAGTAGATGGAGAAGCCCCAAACCCCACTGCCTGCTGGCAAGAGTCATACTATTGCTTTAACATAAAGCCATAAAATGCCAGTCTCTTGCCCTCCTACCAGAGCAGTACAATTCACAGCTCTGAAATTGGACTCTCTACAGCGCAATAAAGTCATAAAACTTGTGCAGCCTGATAGCCAATAGAACTTCAAATTCTCTGGTCACCCAGGAACATGGGCTAAGACAACTATGATGTCACAATTCTACCCACTCCCTCCAAAAATCAGGGGGTTCATTAATCATCTCAAAATTAAACTGTCACACCCTTAAAAAAAATTCTCCCCCAGAATATCCATCTTCTAACAACAAAGTTCACCTTTAACAAAAAATATACACCCAGTATGGCAACACTGAATTTGTCAACTTGAAATATACAATCAACCTTCCTTAATGGCCAGGACAAGTAAAGGACTCCAGGCAAAAGCCTGCATAAAGAAAAAGGTCTGACAGCATGTCCTGATGGTCAATGGACACAGGTTTGGTTGAACCAGCAGGGAACATGTTCTTCAGAGGCAAAAACCAGAACACACACAACAAACTAGCGTGATTTTTTCTTCTTACCATCCAGTTACTCCTTCAAATTCCTCTCCTCCTGTTCCATATCACACCCTCTCCAGTATGGCTCCCAGCCCTTGCACTCAACTGAAACTGATTTCACCAAAGTCTTTAAAGACCTTTTCCTAGCCAAAGCTCAAAACCAGTACAGCATCCTCATTCTCCTTAACCTGTCAGGCACCTTCAACAGTCAACCACTCTCTTCTTGAAATCGTGTCCCTTCCTTGCCCCCCTCCTGGTTCTCCTCCTACCTCTCTAATTTCTCCTTCAGTGTCTCTTCCTCATCCCCCCTTCCAGCTTTCTGTGAGGATTCCACAGGACGCTGTCCTTGGTTCCCATATCTTCTCCCTTTACACCTTGTCTATAAGCAATCTCACCCGCAAACTCAAACTGAACTAACACCTTCATACAGATGATTCATAGATCTACCTCTCTATTCCAGACCTATCTCAGCTTCTCTCCTCATGGAAGTCTAACTGCCAGTTCAAACTCAACAGGGCTAAAAGAGAGTTCTTCATCTTCACCCCCATCCCTCCTTGCTACCTCCTTTTTGGATGACTGCAGATACCACTACCATCCTGTCCATCACTTGGGCCCATAACTTGGGTGTCTGTCATCTTTGACTCAGACCTCTCTCAGACCAACATCCTCACATCCAGGCTAGGTCTAAATCATGCAGATTCTTTCTGCATAACATCTCAGATACGGCCTCTCTTATCTGTCCACATGGCTACAACTCCTCCACGTTCTCATAATCTCATATCTTAATTACTGCAACACCCTTTTCTCTGGCCTTGACAAATGCAATCTTCCCCTGTTCATCCATTCAGAATGCTGCTGCAAAGATCGTTTTCCTAGCTCGTCACTTGGACCACGTCACCCCTCTCCCTGAATCCCTCCACTGGCTCCCTCTTTTCTACCATATCAAACATAAGCTATTTGTATTCACTTTCGAGGCTCTTTATGACCTATCCCGACCCCACCTATCATCTCTCATTCAGTATCAAAAGGTCAGCTCTCGCCTGCCGTCAGCCCATGTCGCCAGCCTCCATCCCCCACTTGTTAAATTCTGAAACAAGCACCTTTGTGCACCTCACACTTGGCAGAAGCTGCCCGTGAACATTCACCAAGCTACCTTGTTATCCACCTTCAAATCCTTCCTCAAAACTCTCCTCTGCTATGATACCTATAAAATACTTGATGGTGAGACAGCTGGTGTGCTAAGACCACAGCCTGTCATACTGACCAACATTGTCTCATTGTTTCTTGTACTACCGTCTCGCATCTTATACTTAGTTTGTAAGCCCCCTGGGGCAGGGACCATCTCTTTGTGCTGTGTTTGCACAGCGCCTGGCACAGTGGGGTCCTGGTCCAGGGCTGGGGCTCCTAGGCACTATGATCATGCAAATAATACATAATACCTACCCACCCCCAGTGACACTGAGCGTCTCCAGGTTTCCCTCTTAGAGTTACAGGGATGTCACTAGAGCCTTTCACTGTGTGCATGATCACAAGAGCATGTCAGGCAGGAAATGCCATATGACAGACCAATGACACATTTAACACAGTCCCCTGCCTCTGACATTTAGCAACACTGGATTCTGAAGAGCAGCGTTTCTCAAACTGGGGTCCCTGACGGCACCCCAGGGGGTCCGCGGGCCACACTGATCAACTCCTTCCCCTCCCTCCACTCCTCTCCCTCCCTCCCAGCGCCTCCTGCACGGTAAAAGTCCAGCGATGCAGCAGGGCTAAGGCAGGCTCCCTACCTGCCCCAGCTCCGCAATACTCCTGGAAGCAGCCGGCACGTCCCTCCGGGGCAAGGGGTCTCTGCGCATTGCCCCTGCCTAGAATGCCGACTCTGCAGTTCCCATTGGCCAGGAACTGCGGCCAATGGGAGCGGTGGGGGCGGTGCCTGCGGGCAGGGGCAGCGCGCGGAGACCCCTTGCCCCCCCCCCGCCCACCTAGGAGCCGCTGCCAGAGAGAGATGTGCTGGTTGCTTTCAGGAGCCACCCAAGGTAAGTGCCGCCTCACACCCCTCACTCCCTCCTGCACCCCAACCCCCTTTCCCAGACCAGAGCCCGCACCCAAACTTCCGCCCAGAGCCCGCACCCTGAGCCCCCTCCCGCACCCAAACTCCCTCCCAGAGCCCGCACCCTGAGCCCCCTCCTGCACCCAAACTCCCGCCCAGAGCCTGCACCCCTCACCCCCTCTGCACCCAAACTCCCTCCCAGAGGCGCACCCCCTCCTGTACCCCAACCCCCTGCCCCAGCATGCTGAAAGTGAGTGACGGTAGGGGAGAGCAAGCGAGCGATGGAAGGAGGGGGGATGGAGTGAGCGGGGGTGGGACCCCAAAGAAGGGGTGGGGCCTCAGGGAAAGGGGCGTGGCCAGGGCTGAGTGGGGAGGTGGGGCTGGAGAGGGTCCCCAAAATTTTTAAAATCAAAATGGGGTTCCTTGGGTTGCTAAAGTTTGAGAACCGCTGCAGTACAGAACAGCAGAAAACCCTAGCTGTGCAATGCTGTACCAGGGGAAGAATTTTTCCCTACTTCCAGCAGGTGATCAATGTGCACCCTGAAGCAGGAGGCTGATAACACTTATTGTTACCTAAGCTAGTGGCACTACAGGTGTTACTCTTATTCATCAGTGACTAATCTCTTTTCAAACCTCCCTAGACTATTTGCCTCTGCAATACACTGTCATTTTCCAACTCCTACTCAGCTCTCTGGAATCCAACAACACAGAGGTAAGGAACACAGGTTGACACATTTCAGGGCATGTATTTCCCACTGTGTTACAGTCCACATGATGACTACATTAGAGAAGAGGATGTTGGATTGGACTTGTGCTGGAACCCAGAGAATACTGGATGAGATAAGTTGGCCAGGCGTTGCCCCAGAAAGAAAAGGAGAAAAAGCAAAACAAACATTTCCTGCTACTCCTTTCCGTAGCAGAATTCAGCTAGTGGAATTCACTGGCACGGAAGGTCGTCAAGGCAGGCACTGCTGGCTGGATGATTTAAAACAACAAACGGCTGATCATTTAATGAACTAACAGCTGACATAACTACAAAATGGCCAGCTAAGAATAGAGGGTAATTAAGCCTCATAAATCATGGCACAATCTCATCACCTACATATCCTGCCCTGTGATGGGATGTGCACCCCACACTGGCCCTGCAAGAGCCAAATTGGACCAGATGGGCCCAATCAGCTAATTAGGCAGCAAAGGAGTGGGGAGCTTTAGGCTGGAGGCAGCTAATTAGAGAGAAGCTCACCTGCGAGAGACAGGCAGGGTTCCTACAAAAGACAGGAAAATGGAGACAAAAGAGGCAGCAGGGAGATGGCTGCATTCATTCCCTGGGAGATGTGTTTGAGTAGTTGCAGAGATGAGTTGCCCACAGTTACTCCTTAGGAGGAGGAAGTGAAGAGACTAGCAAACCCAGAGGAGTGGGGAGGGCAAAGAGGTATGGAAGTGGCTCAGGGAATGGACCTTGGCTGCTGGGTAGAGGGTCCCTGGGCAGGAACCTGGAGCAGAGGGTGGGCTGGGGTTCCCTGCCAGCCATTGCAGTAGTGGCACTATGAGACAGTGATGCAGAAGACTGCCTAAGCCTGCTGGATAGCAGGAACCTTGATACACTTCCCCTGTGGAGGGGAAACCACAATAGTGACCTGACTAGAGGGCTGAGTCAGGAAGAGGACAGCTGTGGCTCCTAGGAGCAAGAGAGGAGCTGCAGAGGAGAAACGGATGGGGTGTAATTGCTGGAAGGGCGTGACTGAGCTAATCTCCAGAGATGCCAGGAGGTGGTACTATCCAGTGGTGAGTAGAGCCCCCATCACATGCCCCCACCTCCACTTCTAGCACTACTCAAGAGGCCAACTGTATTATTGAAGGGGAAGTGGGTGTTCACATTCCTCTGAAAGAACAGGTGTGATGGATTGGGAGCAGCTCTGTAATAACTTATAAAGACCATATGGTGGTCTGGTAACTGGGGTGTTTTCTGTATGATTATATTGGCTTAACACAATAGAGGCTGTCAGAAAAACAGGCAGGAAGGAAAACAGCAGCTCGGGATAAGCCACCTCTCTGCAAACACTTGAGAGGTGTTAAGGGACAATGCCAGGACTACTTGCTTTGAAGATTTTGGCTCCTCTCTAGGTAACCATACAAAACTGGCCTGAACCAGGAGAGGAAAAGGCCTGCAGAACACTGAAGATTGACAGGACTCGGGCAGGTTTAAAAAGGAACACTCTCAAGAAAGGGGAGGAGTTTCAGGGGAAACAGACTAAGACTCCTGACAAACTGCTGTAGGGGTCTGAAGAAGTTAGGCCTGCCTGGATGGCCCTCAGGGGGTGGCAGGCCAGTAGGTAAGAGATGTATGTAGACTGTTAGTGTTTAAATCCTTGTTCTCTACTTTTTTTTTTTTTTTTTTTTATAATAAACAGTACCTTCGCTTTAAGACACTGACTGGTCACAGACTCCCCAAGTGAAGAACTGCAGGTGCCAGAACACCATGAGACCTGCTAGGTCAGTTCTCCCTACCATTATTGCCTAAGAGTAGGAAAGCTGCAGAATTCCTCCCGAGGAGAAATAAGGCATGAGGCCTAAGACCTGAAGAGGTGCACTCAGACCAGAAAGGGGACAGGTTTGCAGCTAGCCCAATAACTGTGACAACAGGTATTAGCTGCTGCTAAAAGCAGGAGACCAGACTGAATGGGCTAATGGCCTTACCTGGAATGGCTATCCCCTTGTGCCTCCGCTACTGAGAGCCAGGCAGAAAGGTGTTTGATCCTCTACATCCTTTATAATGCCCTCCCTTTCCTCACCTGCCTGTGATCTGGGGCTCCTTGCTAGGCAAAAGTTTGATTATTACAAGCCTGAAGACAAAGGGAAAGATGAAACATTGTATAGGCAGGTACCTGGCCACTGCATTCTTAGGTACAGAATGGTGCCATCTGCACCAAGTCTCAGACTCGCATGTTTCTCTTCCCCAAACACACACAAACACTGCTCCTCTCCAGGGAGGTGGAGTTCTGTTTCTCTTGCTGCTTCCTCCTTATGTATTAGCTCTCAGGGAACAGAGCTGATCATTAAGCAACACGGAGTAGACATCTCCACAACTCTCATTGCCCTTCTACCAACCCCCTGGATCCACCTGAAGCAAAAGAACCCCTCTCAAACATTCCCTTGGTACAGTTTTGTGCAGTACTGAGCACAGTTACCTTTACTGAGTTATAGGTGGTGAATAATTTGCTAGCCTAGATAATTGCCAAGATGCAAGATTAGCTCACACAGTGACTCCTCAAAGTGGAGGGGTGAAAGTCATAAACTGAGCTAGTGATAACAGCAGGAATGATTCTAAAAAAACCCCTACAGCTGGCAGAGACACCCCTCACACCATGTGTATTCACCCAGTTGGGGGGGGGGGGGGCAGACAGAGTTACAGGGATCAAACACCGAGATTCTTACCTGATGGCAGGTGATGAGCAAAGCTGTCCACACAAAGAAACCTGAGATGGCCTGAGCAGCAGTGGTCATTAGGAATATTGGCTGCTCCATAGCCGTGGGGCTGCCGTCCTCAGACATCCAGGAGAAGTTTGGGGCTGCAACTGGGGTGGTGGCAGGGGAACCCAGCTCGGGCTCTGACATGACTCCAGTCACCACTATCATTTTGCCTTTTGGGAAGCAGTTCCACCAGGGTTAATACAGAGCTGCCTCCAAGCTGAGCCCTGTCAAACCCAAAGGGGATACACAAAAAGGCAGAGATTAATCTCAACCGAATGGACGCAAAGGTAAGAACATTCTGCATTTATACCATGCTTTTCACATGGGATCTTAGAATCTGCCCAAACAGAACTCAGTTAAGCATTCACAGCACCCTGTGAGATGGTTAGGTAAGGACATATAAGGATCACTCACAGCCAGCTCTAGGGTGAAACCCAGCAGCTATTTAACAGCACAAACACCACCACCCTCCTCCTACAAAACAGTTTAGGCAGGAAGTGAAGAATACTGTATCCATCTGGTACTACAGAAGAATTCAGGTAGGCAGAATTTAAATTGCCCAGGACACCCCAGTAAACACACCAACCCTTGACAGAGGTGTCTGAGTCTTTTTACACTGAATGGCCAGAGCCTTAGATTTACATCTCATCTGAAACAGCACCACAAGCAGCCCAACACCTGGTAATGCAGAGGGGAACTTGTTCAGCATCAACTCCAAAGGCAAGCGTCCTTTATTAATTACCAACACCACTTGGAGTGCGTGTACACATGCCAAATGCACATACTCCTAGAGTCACATTGCTAAGGCCACGCTGCTTCCAAATCAGAGGCTTGCATGTGTGACCAATAATGTTCCTGTTACCTATGGAAATAATTCTATCTGCTTTCTTCTCACTTTGCAAGGAGAAGGAAAACAAAAGGTAAATTGGGGGAAATAGCTGGGGGTTCCTTTTACCTAGTTTATTCATGAATATAGGTAACCAAAATTTGAAGGAACTTTAATTTATTAATCTCTCTAATGAAATGCACTGAACACTGAGAAGAAAACGTAGTACATGGATCTGCAGAAGGATTGGAATTTTTTTCCTTCTTCCAGTTGCTGCACTTTTTCTGAAACATTCCCCTTTCAGACTGAAATTTTCTATGCTTGGTCTCTACCCAAGGGTGATTTTAATAATAAAAAAAAGTTTGAGGGAAAACAGTTCAGCTATTTTTGTGCATGAGAACATACTTTTCCCATTATATTAAAAAAAAAAAAAAAAAATCCTTGTGACTTTTTATTCAAACAACCCTGCAGGAAAAAATGGCTGAAGGTTTGAACACAAACTTGGATGGAAGCTGTTCTCATTAAGCAGCAGGACCTTTGCTGATTCTGGAGGAAACTGGTTTTGATTTGACAGTGTTTAAGCCTTTGACAAACCCATATTAAGACAAGCAATAGATATTTCTACAAAGCTCATAAGGTGTCTATCTAGAAAGGGTTCATGGCAGCTGCATCCACGGTTAACTCCATGAACAGTCCCGTCAGCCATGATATTGCAAAGCTGTAGGGACTGAGGGGGCTCATGAGAAGTACTTCCGCAGATCTTGTAAGAGGCGAAGGGGTCAAAAGAGGGCTCCTGCACACCAGCGCAGTCTATGCTAAGAAACTTTTACCACCCTAACTAACACTGCAGCTGCACCAGTACTAGCAACACTGCGAATCTTAGTACAGATAGGGTTTTAATTGCGCGTGACTCCCCCCCCCCCCCCCCCCCCTTTTTTTTTTTTTTTTTAAGTCCCACGTCCCCCTGCAGGGATCAAGTTTAACCAAAATGGTGCTAAAAACCACATTGGCAGCCTTAAACACATCCATTCTAGGGATTCCAACACTGCTAATGCTGACCCAGCTGAGCTCGTGTTAGCCACAGTGTGGAAGTTCAGATATTCACCTAGTGTAAAAGGACAATTTCAAAAAACTAGGACCACAATAAGAACCGCTGCCACCCCTGCAGACCTTGTAAGCCATGCAAGTGTCAAGGGCGGGTCTTTGGACTTCATTAGTTGCAAAGTAGGGATCCTTGCTCCAATGCACCTCAGGGCCTCTGCAGATGAGGAAGATGCTAAGCACCTTTCCAAACTACAGCGCTCCTAAAGGGCATGGGACTGGCTCTCTATTGTGGACCTTGTGTGGCATGCAGGAATGGGGGCAGAGGTTTCTATTATCTAACCAAACTGTATAAATTCTGTGATCTGCAACACACATCTTGCAATTTTTTGCAAGCCAGCAGAATTTCAAAGGCCTAGTAAGTTAACCCCCCCCCCATAAAGGGGAGGAAAAAGTCCCCCCCCCCCAAATTTCCTATTATAACAGAATATAAAGGTTGTATAGTTAAGCACTCAAAAGGTCAGGAAAATGCTCAAGTTGAGGCTGTATGTGAAATCTTAATACTGCCCCCTTGTGATTATACATTACTGCACAGTCTAATTATAGGATTAGTTACCATTTTTCAAATGGTATTTTGTAATATTCATTTTTTTCCTACAACCTTAAACACATGTAACATTTTGGAGTAGTGTGTTCTACTGCATACCAGAGTCCAGGAAAGTCATTTATATGAAAAGTGTGCAGTAAGTTTGAGAACTGACTACAGATTAAGAAATAGTGCAGTGTTGATAGCATATATAGGTCACCAAAATTTGCAGGTAAGGTAGCTTCACAGTTAACTTTCTCTCTACTGAAATGCACCACAGGAAGGCTGTGCTGCTGGTTGAGAAGAAAACATAGCATATGGATCTTGCAAAATTAACAGAATACATAATTTAGAGGGAAGAAGTTTACTAAGTTAGACAGGATAAAGGTATAGAGCAGGGGCGGGCAAACTTTTTGGCCTAAGGGCCGCATCGGGTTTCACAAATTGTATGGAGGGCTGGTTAGGGGAGGGGGTCATGGCCCAGCCCCCACCTCCTATCTGCCCCCTGGGGACTCCTGCCCCATCCAACCCCCCCTGTCCCCTGACTGCCCCCATACCCCCGCCACCCCATCCAACCCCTCCTCTCATTACTGACAGCCCCCCCCGGATCCCTGCCCCATCCAACCACCCCTTCTCCCTGTCCCGACTGCCCCCTGCCTTCCCATCCTGCCCCCTGCTTTCCTGACTGCCCCCCCGGGACCCCTGCCCCCATTCAACCCCATTCCCTGCCCCCTATCCACACCCTTGCCCCCGACCACCACCCCGAACTCCCCTGCCCTCTATCCAACCCCCCGCTCCCTGCCCCCTTACCACGCTGCCTGGAGCACTGGCAGCGCTGGAGCTGGGCCATGCCGCCGCTGCCAGCACGCAGCACAGAGACCGGGTCAGGAGGGGGGACAGCAGGGGAGGGGCTGGGGGTGAGCTGGCCGGGCAGGACGGTCCAGCGGGCTGTAGTTTACCCATCTTATTGTTACAATGACATTAGCATGAATAGAAAAGAATGAGAAAACCACTATCAGTCTGACACGTACATCTTTGCTTGTAGCAAGAATTGTTTATTATATTGTGTTATTTGAGAAGTAGGAGGTGATCATGTAATTCAAGACTTAATTGTAATATATACACACACAAGGGGGCAATCTTAACTTTGGAACTATTCCCTAAATCTGTTCAGTCTTCTGCTCCAGTCTTGCCTTCTCTTCTCTGCTCATCCTTCTGTAACTCTCCCTCACTCTGGGGTAAAGGGGGACAGATTTGCTCTCGCATATTCTGGTCCACCTATCAGGAATTCTCCCCCATTTCCTGCCTCCAGGTTACTTCCTCTCTTTAAATCTCACCTTAAAACCTTCTCCATTTTCAATTCACAACTACACTCTCCCTGGAAAGAGTCTTTGCAAAACAATGTGTGAAGTACACTATAGAAAAACCATGTACATTTCCTGGTGAATGGAAAATCCCATTTCTTTAACAAGAATTCATCTAGGTGGGTGTGTAGGCCTCAGTCTGAAAGGGATGTACCGTAATCTATAATTCCTAACCCTCATACAGGATTCTTCAGACAACTGCTCTGAGACTCTGCCACATAACTGTATCCAGGGGATATCAAAAGCAGCGGAAGGGAGACGGGGGAGGGGAAGGAGTAGGATGTTCTCTCCTGGACACCATTGCTCTCTGCCCACTAAGTTATTCTTTACAATGGGATAGGGACCATTTCACTTCTCAGGCACTGGTTTAGATACAAACCATATTGGTAGTGGCTGAAATCATCATCCAACATCTACATGAAGTCAGTTTGGGAATATCTGGCTATGCCTTCACTACAGAAAAAAAAAAAAAGTGGGTTTTCAATCACTCTCTCACTGTAAAATCCTACTGGAAACAATGCAGTGTAGTTTTACCTGCATGCAGCTAACCAAGGTAAATCGTGTGTGTGTGTGTGTGTGTGTGTGTGTGTGTGTGTGTGTGTGTGTAAGTAAATATAGGGGTAGAAGGGATCTTAAGAGGTGATCAAATTCAGCCCCCTGTGCTCACATAGAACCAAGTAAACCTAGACCATGCCTGTCAGGTGTTTGTCCAACCTGTTCTTAAAAACCTCCAGTGATGGCAATTCCCCAACCTCCCTTGGAAGCCTGTTCCAGAGCTTATCTGCCTTTATAATAAAAGTTTTTCCTAATATCTAACCTAAAGCTTTCTTGCTGCAGATTAAGCCCATTAATTCTGCCTTCAGTAGACAGAGAGAACAATTGATCCCCATGGTATTTATAATATCCCTTAACATAGTTGAAGACTCATCAGGTCTCCCCTCCCGCCCCCCAAGTCATCTTTTCTCAAGACTACACATGCCCAGTTTTGTTTTTTTTAAACTAGGTCTGTTTTTTTAAACCTTTTATCATTTTTGTTGCTCAAGGGTTGACTTTGACTAACTACACTGAGGTAAAACTACCCGTCCCCAACTACACTAGGATTTTACAGCACGATAACATGTCAGGGCTTAGGAACATGTACACTTTGCTACTGTCCATCCCGTACCACTTCTGGAAACAGGGGGGCCTTCACTCCAACACCATCAAACCAGCATCTTTCACCAAAAGCACATTTAGAATCCAAAACAGTTAACTAAAAGGGGTATCTATGTGTATCGCACTACATTCATTACACAAAGCACACTTCTGGCGCAGCAGCCTAGCAAAACAAGTGCAACAGGAAAGGGGAATCTGAGCTCAGACACACG